TAGCACATCGGGTTGCTGGTGGGCCAAGGCAAACCGAGAGTTTACAACTGGTGATGCTGAGCTGGACAAGACCAGGATTCTTTGCATCGTTACTGATCCCCTGAGCCTCTTCAAGACAAGCCAGAAGTTATGCGTTTCGGATAAGTTCTTTGCCAAGGGCAGTGGTGGAAAATTTGACGAATTTGAGCCAAGTTTGGATGGTCAACGTGATGTAACCGGTGTTGTTAGCATTGCAGCCGTCAAGAGCTTTATTCTGCTTGCCTCGTCATCCGCTGGCAGTGATGAGATGACTCTCTTCGTTACCAGTGATGCTCAGTTCTGGCACCGAGCCATGTTCCCCACAGACGACAGTCACGATCATTCCCACAAGATCAACCAAGAAGCTTACACCGTGCTCGAGAGCACCAACTACAGCATTCAAGTCGATGTCATGACTTCTCACCCGTCTACGCCTATGGGTGTCATCTTCACCAGCAACTCGAACGGTACATACTTCACAGAGAACATCCCATATACCAACCGCAATGTCAAGGGCCACGTCGACTTCGAGAAAATCAGTGGAATCCAAGGTATCTTCCTGGTCAACACCGTTGAAAACGGCAAGGAAGTTGATGCAAAGAGCGCAAGGAAGGTTGTGGTGACTCAAATCACATTTGATGATGGAAGAACCTTTGAGCCAGTCAAAGCTGGACAAGACCGCATTCACCTACATTCCATGACAGACATTGACAATATCGGACGCATCTTCTCGAGCCCGGCCCCTGGTCTTGTTATGGGCAATGGAAACACGGGCGCCGCGCTTGGCGAGTTCGAGAGTTCCAATCTTTATGTTTCTGACAATGCTGGCGTGTCATGGAAAAAGGCACTCGAAGGTCCTCACAAGTATGAATTCGGTGACACAGGTGGTATATTGGTCGCTGTTAGGGATTCTCTCAAGGAGGACGTCGATAAGATTTCCTTCTCCCTGGACTATGGAGAGAACTGGGAGTCTGCCCCGCTCCCTGATGGCCTGAAGGTTAGACCTGTTATCCTGACAACTACTCAGGATTCGACGAGCCTCAAGTTTCTGCTTGTTGGTGAGAAGGACAGAACCTTCCACATGATTGCCATCAACTTTGAGGGCATGGAGAAGCGCACTTGTGAAAGCAAGGACATGGAGTCATGGTATGCACGTGTCGACGACAAGGGAGAGGCAACTTGCATCATGGGTCACAAGCAGACATACAACCGCCGCAAGAAATCGGCAGATTGCTTCCTCAAGGCCGATTTCCGTGATCCTGAACCCGTCATCGAGAATTGCGAATGTACCAATGCCGACTTCGAATGCGACTACAACTTTCAGAGGGATCCCGATGACAACACGGTCTGCAAGAAGGTCGGGCCAATTCCCATTCCAGAGGGCTCTTGTAAGGGAAAGGACGAGACTTTCAAGGGATCGTCCGGGTGGCGCCTTATTCCAGGAAACACATGCACGCGAAAGAGTGGCGCTCAGAAGGATGACCCAGTTGAACGCAAGTGCTCCGACGGCGGCAGCTCAGGTGGCGGTTCGACACCTGGTGCTCCGGCCAGTGGTGAAATTTCGCTCAAGGTCAATGAGTTCTCAGACATCAAAGGCCAGGACATGCAGAAATTCTACCTCATGGGTGTCGAGTCTGAGAGCCCTACCAGTGAAGTTGTTATTGCTCGACCTATTGGTGAGAAGCTACCTGACAGTAGAGTCGAAGTGGAAAACAAGCTATGGATCACAGCTGATCATGGCAAAACTTGGAAGCGCATCCTTGAAAAGGAGAATATCTTGGCACTGATTCCTCATACCTACTTCAGGGAAGTCGTCTTCTTCCATACAGATTCCGAAAAAGTCATCTACACCATCGACCGCGGTCATAGCTTTCACAGCTTTAAGACACCATTTTCCGATCCTAGTGCGGCAATGAGTTTCCACCCAGACAAGAAGGACTGGATGATCTGGATCGGAAATCGCTGTGGTGACGTTGCGGGTAGTGAGAATTGTTATCCTGAAGCCTCGATCTCCACTGATCGTGGTGACAACTGGAAGACTTTACAACGCTACGCGACCAAGTGCGAGTTCACAGGAAACTCTGCTTTCAAGTTCCGCGCTCAGAACCAAATCGTTTGTCTTGTTTACAAGGACGAGAACATCGACAACGACAAAACCATTGTTACCATAGAGGACTTCTCTGCTGACGACAAGATTGTTCACAATGGCACGGTTGCAGCGTTTGCAACTATGAATGAGTTTATCCTCGCAACGGATGAGATTGCCGAAGATGGCAAGGACAGCGCCGGCCTGCAAGCCATTGCTAGTATGGACGGAAAGCATTTCGAAGCAGCCCAATTCCCACGCAACTTCCACGACTCCCACTCGTCGTTGTACACCGTTCTTGATAGCTCTAACCATGCCGTGAATCTATTTGTCGCCACTGATCTTTCCGAAGGCCGACGGCGCGGGTCAATAATCAAGAGTAACTCCAACGGTACAACATATGTCCTCAGCGCATCCAATGTCAACTCAGATGAACTGGGCTACGTGGATTTCGAAAAGGTCGCGGGTCTTGAGGGTGTCACTCTTATCAATGCTGTTGCGAACCCTGATGACAAGAGCGGAAAGAAGGTGATTCAGACGAAGATTTCGCATAACGACGGTGCTGAATGGGGTTTCCTCCCTCCTCCATCAAAGGCTGCCGATGGCAAGTCTTATTCATGCAGCTCTTCGGGTGATAGCAAATGTGCTCTCCATCTACATCACTATACTGAGCGAGAGAACAAGGGCAGAACTTTCTCAGCAAGCACCGCTGTTGGTTTGATCTTTGGTTATGGAAATGTTGGACCAAGCCTTGGAGATATCAAGGATGCTGACACTTTCATGTCAGCTGATGGCGGAATCAACTGGAAGAGCGTTAAGAAAGGTGTTTGGACGTGGCAGTATGGTGACCAGGGCTCGATCATTGTGCTCGCACAGCGTGCTACCCACGGGAACAAGGTCAAGTCAAATATTGTCTCATACTCAACAGATGAGGGCAATACTTGGACTGACTATAAGTTCACCGACAAGGAAGTTACTATTCAAGACTTGACATCTGTCCATAGTGGAACTTCCCGAAACTTCCTGGTTTGGTACCAAACAGATGACAAGAAACTCTTCGCTGCCAACCTCGACTTTACAGGACTCACAAATCAGCCTTGCAAGTACTCTGATGATTCTTCTTCAGACTACAATCTCTGGTCTCCTAAGCATCCCCTCCAAAAGGATGATTGCCTTTTCGGACATAAAGCCAAGTATCTACGAAAGAAGACGGATCGCAAGTGCTACAATCAAGCAAGCATGTCACGATTGCGAGGATACGAAAATTGCGAGTGTACTCGGCGAGATTTTGAATGGTAAGTATATGGCAACTGAACGTTTTCGAGAATATAGACTAATAAGTCGCAGTGCATATAACTTCGAACTAGACAATCATGGGCAATGCACTCTGGTTCCGGACCATGATGCGATCTCGGGCGAGGAGTGGTGTAAGCAACATCCCAATGAGACATCGTACTTCGACCCTACAGGATACCGTCGCATCCCCTTAACCACCTGCGAAGGTGGCCAAGAGCTGGATAAGACCTCTACAGAGCACGCTTGCGCAGGACACGAGGAGGAGTTTGAACGCAAGCGTGGCGCTTCAGGCTGGGCTATTTTCTTTGCTATCATCATCCCCATTGGACTGGCAGCCGCTTTTGGCTGGTATGCTTGGCGCAACTGGAGCGGCAAATTTGGTCAGATTCGACTGGGTGATAACAGTGCAACCTTTGACAGCGAGCAACCTTGGATCAAGTATCCCGTCATTGCCATTTCAGCGCTGGCAGCCGTTGTTGCTGCCCTACCACTCGTCCTGACTTCCATCTGGCGATCCGCCACTGGAGTCTACGAGCGCGTCTCAAACCGAAGCAGAGGGGGCAACTGGTCAAGACGATATACCACACGTGATAGCTTCGCCCGAGGACGGGGCGATTACTCCATGGTCGATGACGACGAGGGCGAGCTGCTCGGTGAGGAGAGCGACGAAGAGGTTTGAGCAAGAAGAATGTACGAGCTACGACGTGAAATCAGGACTGTACTATGATATGGTGTGTTATTGGGAGACTTTTTCTTATTTGCTGAAAAGATGAATGCGATGGAATGATATGAGCGTTTGGTAAGAAGATAGGACTAGTATAGTAGGAGATATAGAACAGGAAGACAGGCAGACACCATGTTATAATCATCACTTCAAATGTGCTTTGGCTACATAACTCACTCCACAAGAACGAGACACACTCATTGTCGCAGAGGGTATGATCTTACTCATCATACACCAACTTCAATCCCCCTGAAGATCATGCTGACAGTAATCATTCAGCTCAGACATGCCAGCTAAGACTCGCATGAACTATCTGAGGCACAAACAAGGAGGTAGTGACCGGAAGTGGATATTCGTTCCGGTCATTTCTTTTGCGAAAAACTCATGGTTTGGTGATAGATGCACGGGTATCACACTTGCCGTGTGATATATCCGTGCTGGCTGCATGACAAAGAATCCAATTGCTTGGCTGATAGCTCATGTTATAACGTCCGGTGGACTGGGATAAGGACCTCAAGATATTGCACGAATAGTGTAATTGAAGCGATTTCGACAACTATGACTAGTCACAAAGGCACTATTGAGTTGTTGCCAATGTCACTAAGTGGTATTGTATGGATAGATCCGTGCAGCTCAGAGCTATATGTCCATCATATTTGATTTATATTTGCGATTCCGAAACCCCTTTTGCGCCATGCTTGCTGTGATATAGTCTGTGAAGTAGACCTTGTTCTATTCATGTCTAATGCCATTGCAGCCAAGATTATTTCTCAACGCAACGGATACACCAAAATATTAGACAAACTCCCTCAACTCCTTCCAATGAGTAACCGAGACTGTTTTGCTCATGTAAATGCCTATATATAAACCGGACCATAGCAAATGCGATGTAGTGACAGGTCTAAGATAGCAATTAAACGATTTGGGGTATTTGGTAGTAAAGAAAAAACAAAAGAATGTATAAAATAATGCTTGCTGCTCAAAGATTGACAACCCATACATGATTTGGGTTAGGATATTTTGATATAGTCTGAAACGCCTAGGTGCTGAATGCACCGGTGCAGGTGGTTGCGCTGTGGCGCTATGGCTCGGACTATGACCGCTTGACTCGATTCCAGAATCTTTTCACGGTGCGGTTGTCATGATCGACAGGATCTTCCCACTGGTCTAGAGCAGCGAGCTGTCTTTCAATGCTCTGTTTGGGATTTCCTTCACGAGCGTACGAGGCTGAGCTAGGTGTATGCTCTCCACGACTTGAGCTCACTCGACTACCAGTTTGTTTCCAGCCATAGATCTGGTCCTCGCTTTGGCGAAGATCTGGCCGTGTCAAAGTCATGCGAAGTGTCATTTCTCGACTCGCTGCTGGGTCGTATATAGATTTCTCTCCTCTTGAGTATGATGAGTGCTCGATGCTGCTTCGTAGAGATCGAATATGAGGTGTCTTGTCGAACAATTGAGGAGTTTTTGGAGAATCAGGTTCAGCTGCAGAAGCATCGTCGCTGTATCTTGACGATCGATCATCTTCCAAAAAGCTTCGCAATCTGTCCGGCTCGTATGCAGAGGCCTTGTTGAATCCCGTGTGTGGTCGGGGTCCGTCTTTGGAAGAGAATCCAAACTCAATGGCCTCATCAAATTTCTGCGGTGAAGCGAGATACGCCCGAAGCTTCTTTCGAGCCTCAGGGTCTCGGTAATGAGCTGCAGAAGGGTCGAGGGGTGGGGTCAAGGGAGAGGGAGAGGCCAAGGGTGTTTGTCTGTTGGCAGATATCAACGACAGCGCGCGAGCACGAGACTTCTTCCGCACATGGCCAGATGAGCCAACGCTAGAACTGTGCGAGGCAGACGGCGGTAGAGCGGTGGGGGAAGCAGGGCCTTCTCCTAGTCCATTGACAGAGGGTTTTCCAAAAGGTAGCTTATTAATTGACAAATGGCGGCGGAACGATGGTCTCCGGCTCTTGTTGGGAACCGGTATCTCCTCTCGCAGGTTGATGTGATAGTCATCGAGATATAAACGTAGATCCAAACCCTCTTCATCGTCAAGCCACCGGAAACTATCATAGAAGGAATCCGACCGCTTAATGTCTGAGCTCGGCATGCCTCTGTCATTTTGCCTTGACAGCATACCCGAGAATGACGACGTTCCTTCAGACAATCCAGGACTTGGGAGTGGCGACGGCATTTTGATCTCTTTAGACGGGAGTTTGTCGGATTTGTCCGATACTGCTTCTGGCGCGTTGGTGAAAGTGTTTTGTGACTTATACGCCAACTGGAGCTCCTCCTCTGTAAGGTGGCGGCGTTTTATCTTTTCAGGAAGGTTGGCGTAGAATTTTTGGTCTGTTTCAGTAATTCGTGGGCAATCTGTGCGCAGGATAGAATCATCCGAAGTAATAGGCCTTTCTTGATGCTCGTAGCTCCCTCTAGGTTTGGGGAGTGGTGTCCAAGAGGAGAGAAGTTGATCTTGTCCGACGCTACCGGGCCGTTGACAATGTCCAAGGTCGGGTGATTGAGCTAGTTGCGATCGCTCGATAGTTGAGAAGTACTGTCAAGGAGAAATGTTCAGTACGAGACACCAGATGATATAGCTCATGTAGCAATTTCACTAAATAGAGCAAACATGAAAATGCAGATAAGTCATGAAGGGGAAACCCTGGTTCTTAAGGTACAGTAGAGGGGCGGGAATGGTTATGTCTCAATTCAGGAACGAAACGGCAGAGCTAATGCAGAGAGTTGTCGACTAAAAGGCTCGTGGGGCACGACTCGAATGTCTTGGGTGTATGACGCCTGGTGATTGCTGGTACACAAGCACGTTGGTGCACCGGGTGGCATGGATCATCCAGGAACTGCACGTCTAGGGCGTCGTCACAGCGCCTTACGTTGGGGGGATGTGATTGCTGATCGAAAGCGAGCACTTTCTTGCTCCTGTCTGGTTTGTATCAGGGGTTGCGTAGACAAGACATGGGAGGATCGGCCAATGGCTAGGCACTGAGCGGACGAAGTGCGTGGAGCCGCCCAAACGGCCACCGCGAGCCAAACCAGACAGGGCAAGGACTAGACATGGGTATTGGACAGTGGCTTCTTTTAGCGATTCCTGATGGTTCCCCCTTCCTCAAGGTCCCTGGGTTCCTCCATTTGACGATTAGGCGGCGACTAGCCCCCGGCAGCTGCAAGAGGACCCATATGCAGGCAGGTACACACAGTAGACTCAACCTCGCCAAGTCATATTGATTTCGTACCGCCAAACCCCATAAACTAACCCATACGAGACGGGCAGAGACGCTTGTCGAAATGTGAAACCTTGTTTCGCTGAAAAAGCAAAGGGTGATGAGGATTGCGGTGGCATGAGAAATCGATTGATCGCATCACTAGGGGCCTCAAATCTTCATCTGCTGCGACTCCCTTATGGTAGTATCGAAACAACCGTGAGAAACAAAATATGGGACACGCGGCAAGGGATCCGCAAAGCAATGAAAGCCACGAACTTACTTTTCGTTGAATCGTTGGTGGAAGAGCCTCGAATTCTTGTCTCGTAATGATTGTTGATGGTCGATTATCTGTGGTCGGAGGCTGGACATCGGAAGATACCCTCTGATGTTTTGAAGAAGTGGAAGCAGCGGCGCTTGGACTACGTCGCCACTGAAGTAGGTGACTGCGGGAAGATGATGGACGGTGATCTGCAGTGAGGCCATCGTCGGGAAAGAGGCACTCTGTATCGATTTCACTGAGCAAGTCATGATATTGCGAGTTGTGCCGTAGGTTATCGTTATCAGGACTTGTCTCCGACTGTATTCGTAGCTCGATCTGCTCCTCTTCTGCCCAGGCGCGATACAAGCTCATACTGCATGTTGGATCATCTGTTGTGGTCGTTGCATCTGTAGTCGCAATGCTGATAGGTCGAGAAGGCAGTAAAAAGCTGTGATCACCGAGGCCTTGGCTTTGATCCATGGCGCTGGTATCCGCAGAATCGTTAGTATCGAGCTTTGTGGGAATACGGCGTCGGCGTTGCGGCTGCAGTGGTGGCTTTGGGCGCTGTAGAGAATGCATGGTTTCGAAAACGGGTGCATACACATGCGAGGGTTGTGCATGTATGCGGCTCTTGTTGATGTGACTCGGTTGATTTGGGTAGTGATGCAGAGGTCTAGGATAAAGTGGTTGAGATAAACTTGCAGAACCCGAGGAGAGAGTCTCGTTGTCGAAGAAGCTCATAATATCATCAGGTCGGCCTGGGCCCTGGCTAATAACGCTGCCGCTATCTCTTGGATTCATGTTATTGCTGTCGAGAGCCACCACTGCTTCAGCTCGATTTGGCCATTGATCCTCGTTCCACATCAGGGTCGAATCCAACGCTGCAATTCCATCACCCTGGCCCATGACGAAGTCGAGTTGAGACTTCGGCTCGTGCTAGAGCTGCGCAGCAGGGTTGTCGAGATTTGGCGACAGGGAGTGGTGATGAGGCCGAATAGCTAGCTACCTAGTGACTGCTGATCATGAGGCAATCGGAAAGGAACGGCGATGCAAGGTCCACTGCTGTCAAGTTGGCCCCCGCAGGCACCGTTCCTACACTCCTCGTCCCTTGCTGTGGGATGTGATTGACACTCGGTTGACAGTGTCTACCGGTAAACGAGGGCCGATCGAAGTCGAAGGTTTGCAAGGAGGAGAGTTGCAGTAAACAAAGTGTCGATTCGGGAAGAGTCGATATGAGAGGCAGATCGGTAATTGTGGAAGATGCTATTATTTTTGCTCGTGCCTCGTCGAAATATTTCAACGGTCAAAGTTCATAAGCGAATGCAATTCCCGAGGACTCGTTGTAAAGTGCCGTAAATAGAGATCGTAAAAGGGCAAGCACGGCTTCAATTTTGGTTAAGCGGGTACAAGAGCCAAGCCTCAACTAAAAAGTAAGGTACAGCACGGTAGTAGTAGACACGGAATTTGCCAATTGCTCGAGGACCAAACTCGAATTAGCTCCCAGCAGCGGTGAGAGAACGTTAGGGGTGACAAAGTGTCTGAGGCAATGCAGAAATCGACGATGTGACTTTGGCGTTAAAGGTTGGTAGGTTGGCGTCAAAATTCGTTGTTGTCCCTGAAGTGTACATGTGATACAATGGAGATGGAAGAAAGAGAGGAAAAGAAGAAGGAAAAGAAGTTCGGTCAACTACGGATACCTACTCCATACATAACACAAATTCTAAGGAATAATACTCCGAAGAGTTAACCAAACCTCAGTCCAAATGTCGCGCCGTTCCGTGCCGTGCGTCGTGGTGTCGTGTGCTGCTGTGTCGTGTCTTAATGGGCGTCAGCTCCGGCATCGAGGCCAGATTCGTATGGAACGAGTCCCTAGCGAGCAGGCATGGATGGATACGACCGCTTTCTGCTCAGAAATCACGGCGGTGCTTCAGAATATGTCGATGCCCGTCCCATCACCATCAACCTCGATCCCTGTAGCTTAGCTTAACGCTGTGCTGCAGGTAACTGGTCCCAACTCCCTGGCAACACCACAACAGTTGGCGAGGTGGGTTCATGAACGGTGAACCCACCTCCCAAAACCCAACCCAAAAGCCAATCTGCTTAGCCTCTGGGTCTAGCAGTGCAGCGGAGTCCCAAGTTTCCGGGCACAGAGGTCGATAAGCCAACCTCTATTGGGACAAGTGCAGCTACAATCTGCACAGTACCTGACTTGTTGGTGTGTTTATGCTGACATTCATTCAGGCGCTGTAACCGGACTGTCTCGAATAGGTATCACTGAGGCTTAAGTCAAGATAATTCGTACTTGAGTGGGACTGGAGTCACAATCGAGTGACTGAGGGTGAAGCCGCTTTTCTACCCCTGAGTTGGTTTAGCTCATTTCTGGGGCACTGAAGTTTATGACTTGAAGACCGCAATTCATCGGACTTCTTCCATTATTACCTCCACAGTTGAAGGAAGCAAAGACGCACGACGGCGGGAGGGTCACACCTGAAGCGACCTAAAAAAGCAAACATCTGCAGATCCACGTTTCTTGGTTCCATTATGAGATAGACGTGTTCAGCTAAGTTTCCGACACGCACCGCACACCATATCATGTCTTGTTATTATATCGACAGCGAATAATGCCAATGACAGTCAGCATAACTGGCGAACAACTCATCGGTACCAGGGTAACCTTACCACATCAACTTTATGATAAGAGTTGATGAAACCCAAGATTGTTTATTATTAGGTGTCCCCGCGTAATATTCTGGGTAGACTTCGGCTTCTTGGTACCGATCAATATAACTTGTCGGTCTATCCACCTTATTTCCAGCTTTCAAATTCATCACCCCCACAAGGGACCAAGTTAATGATCACAATCACCTGCCTGCTCAAGGCATTGATAGTGCTCATCACTTCCAGACATTTCTTAGCTCATCCAAGTGACAGATTCCCATGCAACGCTATCATACTACGGCGTGCAAGGGCTGATATCTGACAAGCAGAGTACTTCGCTGTTCAATCTGTTTAAGCGACGCCTAATACCACTGGTCACAGGCCAACTCACTCACAGTAAGACCCTTGAAGCGCTCCGCTAGATTGACTTTAATCCCACCAACCAGCCATATCGCTTTGGGAATCTGACCCGAGTTTGTAGCATTTATTCTGAAGATCTCTCGGAGAGCCCGCCGAGTAGTGTGTAGTTGGACAATAGGACAGCCTGTCTTGGATAATATCTTGCTCAACCAACTCAGCTCAAAAACAAGCCCCTGGAACATACATTTGCTGTGCCGCATTCAACCCTGATCTTGGGTCAAGCCAGCTATCACGACGCTGCCTTTTCGCTGTCTGCTGTCCCTGGTAGCATTCGGGAGCTCCGTAGAAGCGGTATTGTTGGCTCTATTAAAGGGGTTCGGCATTTACGGATCTGGATCCTACGAATCCTAAACTTCTGCTACCAATGATGTCGGTGACACGAGTACACGTTGTCCTGCAGACTCTTGGAGTTGAATTTGCTCTAGGTTGCTCAAAGTGTGTTCACGGACATACTATGGTAGTATGCAGTTTCAACCCATGGCCCGGTGCAACAGACACAGGGCCCTTATACGAAGTACATCTACTTGCGAGTGCAAGCATTTCCGCATTGGTGATTTCCTTGGTCCTTAGCTGTATCGAATACTTCTTTAAGTTTCGGGAATTTTCCATCTTGATCTCATGAGTTTTGTACCTGGTCTGGAAGGCATGGATCTTGTAGAGGTCCCGGACCTGTCGGCAGTTACCACTTACAAGACTCAGATATAACTAGGTAGATGACATATCGGAGTCAAGGCACTGTCAGCGTCCGTGTAGGTCCGTGGAATATGTTTCCCCCACTGTTGAAACTCTTTCAAGACCTCAGGAGGACTCTGCCTAGTTGTCCTCGGGTTGCGCGGCTTGTGGGATTCGCCCTACGAGAAAGATAACAAGGTCCAAGTTTCGATCACGGATCAAACACCGTATAGGTACTAGAAAATCATGATGCGGTGTAGGGAATTATGGAGTATGTTTCTATCGTCGAGGGAAATAGTGTAGTCTAGTTGTGCTACATCAACCTGAAACTGTTTGGCGGAGTGTGGATCACGACGTGCGATGCACAGACGATGCGATGCAAGCTTCAGGCTTCGCTTCTCAGCGCCACAACATGCGGTCTGATTCTGTCGCGCATATGAGATTCATCATACACGTGCCTTGAGAGGTCTGTGGTGGAAGAATGGCTCCATCTTCCGGTGGGAGGACTAACTATGGCTCTTTACGAGATGTACCAGTGCCCGATGAACTATCGCGGAGTTGAACAGGGTGTTCCCGGTGTGTCAGATAGAAAGCAAGGTCCAGCTTCTGAACTAGATGGTGTGTTGAGGAGGTGAAAAGGGACTCTCAAATGGATCAGGCGAGAATGGTAGAAGGTGCTTCGTTGTTTTATTCGAGGGGATCAGATTCAGCATTGGCCAATGATTCTTGTGTACTCTCGAGTGTTAGTCGTATGTCTGAACTCAAATATGGTAGCACAAGAATCACGGAACTTACTGGGTCAAGGTCATGTTTCCAGGTCAATCGGACCATAAGCTCCTTTGTAAATGAGCGAATGGGACCAACCACCAATGTATTATGCACTGCTGAATGGCATTCGTATTGGAAATATATTACAGATAAGAGTCACATAGTATTCAAGACATGTGCAGCACTCTTCGTGTAAACTAACAAGACGTGTCGTGTCGTTCATTGGTCAAAACACGGTCATTCTATAAATTGCGCATCCACTCATTAACAGCTCTGAACCAATGATACAGCTTACAGGACGGCACATTTGGCTTCAGCCTCGAGGAAGCCTCAGCCTTTCTTACCTCAGTCAACATTTGACTTCTTCTTCAGCCTCTCTTATCACTTAAACTTTAGGTCATCGTGCGGACCAGGTAAAAACTATAACTGAATCATGATATATATTCACTCATCGCGTTTGTTATCTTGATGTAAAAACTTCACTTTCCATCCACTATTGTTTTTTTGAGTATTCTTTCTTGATACCCCGTACTACCACCGATGACATCGGAAAAGATGCCGCTCATCCTGGATAACCCCATGCCAGTGGAACTCAACGATGTAGATGACCTTTTCGGCGATGGAGTTGGTCTGTCTCTGCCCGTGAGGGCGCAGAGTAAACAGCTCCAACAAAGAATGGACGATATCAGGATTCGAGGATGTTGCCAGTAAGAAGGCTCAGCTCAGCCCGCAGGCACTTATGCACGTTTTTGCTAACCCTCGATAGGACTGTGGCGTGGTCAAGGACAGGAACGATTGCCAACATCACACCTGATGGTCAGAACCTTGAACTTCGCTTTCTGCGACGCTCCCCAGAAGATGGCTCCTGGGACCTCAGTGAACCCACCACATGCCCCTTTGTCAAAGGCCTCCCAACCATTCCTATCGTTCACTTGGTATGGGCTGGTACCAGCAGTCCAGACCTAGCGGTAATAGATGCCGTTGGTCGCGTCTCTATCGTCAGCTTCTCTATCTCACTAAATCACCCTTTCCCTCAACGGAAATGGGACGCTGACCCAACTGACGATGTGCATACCGTCGTCGGTGCTTACTGGCTTAACGTTGCTCCTCCAAATCAGCAGGTATGTGTTGCTTGATGAGGTTTATCAGTGTTTCTGACTTTTAGCAGTCATCATACAATGTCATGTATGGGCCAGCTACAAAACATGGCAATGGGTATACCTATGAAAGCTCATTCGTTCATGCTGGAGGACCAACCCACCCCAGCCCTGCCAAGAGTGCCCTGCTCACTATCACAACGCATGGCGTTATCAGGATGTTTTGGTCACAGAATACCAATCGACTTGAGGAGACCACCATGGAGCTTGAAAGTATAAGTGCTTCTGATGAGCTCATTACACATGCATCTTTTGCATCCGAAAAGAGTATGCATCCAACCTATCGTATTGCTTTGCGTTTGTCACTAACAGCTGGCAGAACACCTCCTTCTCGCCGTTGCTACAACCTCAAAGCAGCTGAAACTAATCAAAATCGAGATTCAATGGGGCCAAGCATCACAAGCGGACAAGGCGACTGGTCGGCCCGCAGGAAACCTAAGCCCTTCTCTGGTTGAGAAACATTTGGCCACCACAAACTGGCTTCAAGGTGGCCCTGGTGATTCGAGCCTCGACACATCCATGATCGAGCTGTCTCACTTGGAAGTTCTTCCTTCTGTGATTGATAACACGGGCAAGAACACCACACCGCCCATGATTGTCACGGCACGGTCACGCACTCCTACTGAGAGCTCGTACCAGGGGAGTCAGAGTATCGTTGA